ATGTGGTGCTGAGGAATCGAACCCAGGGCCTCGAGCATGCAAGGCAAGCGCTCTACCACTGAGCCACCTTCCCTTGGAGTTTGTTTTTTGTTTCTTGTTTCTTTTTTTTACTGTGTAGTAGAGAATTTAATTTTGTTTAGAGATGCAAAATTAGTTTTTTAATGTTGTGATAGCTTCTTGGAGATTGCTGTCTTAGGGATCATCTCACCCTTTTTCCAAAGGAAGGTGACAAAGAAATTGCTACCAAAATGCAGGAGCTTGCCCTCAGTGAAGGCGCCTTACCTCGACACCTGCACACTGCGATGTTTACAATAAGTTCAGATCCGAGGATGCTTACCCATAGGTAGGTGACTTAATTAATTCCTTCTAAGTTAAAAGTATCTGTTAGAGAATGGATTTAGGTCTTGTATAGAATAAACACAGGTGGATGCCATGAATGTTCCCGTTGGTTTTGGTACACCCATTCCGTTTCCTTCCCTTAATGAAGGGTAATTGTTCATATGATCATTGCATAGCTTGATCAGGTGGAAAACTGACCCTTTTTTTTTCCTCTTGCCCATACTGGGACATGGAAGACTTGAAGACACTTTATGCAGCTGTAGGACCCTCTCATTCCTGTGACTTTGCACACACACGACCCTGGGTGGAAAGCGTGTACAGTTAATTTTTCAATGACTTTTGTCAGTTCGGTCTTCAAAACAAAAGGACGGAGGAGAAAGAGAAGGAAAAGAAAAAGAAGGAAGGAAAGGGGAAAAAAAGTAAATGTAAATGTATTTCTGGCCTAAACTAGCCTTATCCTGACTCTCTTTTAGTTAAGCAATTCTCCCTTGGCATATTTCTTTCCTCCAGTAGCCATTCAAATACAAGGAGCCACACAAATCTGCTCATTTGCTCTAGGCCACATGCACGGCAGCCCTAAGCAAGCCAGATTATGGCATCAGTAAAAAACAATGTCCATCGTAAATATTGGACTTGATGAGTAAGAGCGTGAGGTACTGACCAAGCGGCCCTGTAAATCTCCCTTTGTCATTGCCCCACATCCAGCTATTGTGTGTTGTTTTATATTCTTATGCTTCTATTGTTGACAATAATAGAATTTGAACTCAGGACTTTGCGTTTACCAGGCAGGTGCTCTACTGCTCAAACCACCTCTAGTCCATTTCGCTTTAGTTATTTTTCATTTGGAGTTTCTGGTTTTGCCATCACAAGCCTTAGACTGCAATCCTCGTACTTACAACTCCTGTGTAAATGGAATAACAAGTGTGCACCACCACACCCATGTTGGTTGAGATGGGAGTCTCTAACTTTTTGCCTTGCCTGGCCTTGAGCCATTATCCTTTCCATCTCTGATTCCTGAGTAGTTGGGGGGGGGGGTCCGGTCGTGAGGCCTGAACTTTGGGCTTGGGCACTGTCCCTCAGCTCTTCAGCTCAAGGCTAGTGCTTTACCACTTGAGCCACAGCGCCACTTCTGGCTTTTTTTTTCTTTTTGCTTATGTGGTGCTGAGGAATCGAACCCAGGCCATCATGCATACAAGGCAAGTGCTCTACCACTGAGCCACCTTCCCAGCCCTGATTCCTGAGTAGCTGGGATTGTAACAGTGAACCACCTTGCCCAGACTTGTTTAAATCTATTGCAGGAAGCTGTCTGAATCCCTCACTTGTAAAGATTAACCACAAAAAGTAACCTCCTGTGTTGCCTGAGAGGATGGAAAACTGCACAAGGAAGTCTGTTTCCTCAGCATTGTCTTACTAGGAATCCATCATTAAAATGGAGACTTTGTTACCTTGCTCACTCCCTGCTTGCGTTAGGCATCTGTTGCATTCTGCATTCATGGCTAACCGGTTAAATTCTCTAATGTGATTAGTTAGCGGTTTTATCAGAGAAGCGTTTTTGAAAAAAAAATCTAAAATGTTAATAGTAATTAAATTTACAGATAGGGTAGGCACAGAAACACAATTCTAGTGTCCATTTTCTGATGGAACAGTACAGTTTTACAATCTGAGTTTTGGTATTAATGTGTTAATGTATAAACATGTATGTCAGAAGGTGGTTATTTGGCTATTTCCCTTATAGTTTTTATGACCACTCGTACTGTAAATGTTCAAAGTTTAGAAAGGTCAACTGTGAGTAAAACAGTCCTTGCTAGTAAGGAGCTCTCATTGTAGGAGATATCCTGGAGATGAAGGTTAGTAAGTGGCCAGACTGCAGAGTCAATGTGGGTCTTAAATTTTTCACTTAGAACTAAAAGTTGCTCTTACTGTTAAAGCAGCATAAGTAGAGTCATCTGCTGTAAGTACTTGAGGTTATTATCTGTACTCCAAAACTGAAAATACATTGTTTCAACCTTTGACCTTGTCAGAAAAGGTATATCAGAATGTGACTGCTGTCTTTTGCTTGTGGTCAGAATTCCAGAGTAGATGGATGGGCACCTGCTGTTCACGCCTTGGATATTCTTTGTAGGCTGAGATAAGGAGAATTGAGGTTAACGAGCAGCCTAAACAAAACAGATCACCTTGTCTCTGAAACTTCATCAGCAAAAAGACAGTTTGGAAGTGTGGCTCAGGTGGTAGAGCACCAGCCTGTTATCAACCATGAGACCCTGAGATCAAACCCTAGTATCACTCAGAAGAATTAGTATTTCCTGAGAGGGCTAGAGTATTGTGTTATTGTCAATTTATCCTGACTTGTTCAACCAACAAGTTGTATCATCAAGAATTTTCATTGTTCCTTTTGCATTCTTTAAATGGGGAAATTCTTCATCTTCTGGTCCTTTGAAAATTAGCATAGCTATTAGAGAAGTATGTTAATTTAGAGAAAATTCCAGAATATTAACATTTGCATTACTTACTACCTTAACTATTTCTCCATACTGAATACTAGTTTTTGGTAATTTTTAACATCAGAATGACTTTTTGACTATAGTTGTATTATAATTCTATGATATTTTGTTCTTAAAAATTCCTTTCTGTTCTAGCTGAGATAAAGCAGCAAACCTTTCTCAACGTCTGCTTTTTTCAGACAGCTAAGTAGACATTTAGTGGGACTCTGGACAGCTGATAACGCAACCGCGACAAACTTGTTGAAACGCATTTTGGTAAGTCAGTGTTTTTATCCAGTAAGATGTAAATATGTTGTTTACACTGCAGGAATGGACTTGATCATTGAAAAGTTACTTATAGGACTTAGTATCTTGTAAGGCTCCGTGTTCCCCCTCCCCCCACCAGTGACTTAATCATAATTTTAATTTATCTGGGCTTTGAAGGCCAGATTATCTCTTGTGTTGTTTGTTTTGGAAATGGATTTTTTTTGTTTTATTTTTAAAGTTTGTTTTTCCTTTTTTTTAGCCCCCAGGCTTGTTGGCTTACTTAGACAGCTCAGATGCAGTTCCTGAGAAGGATGCTGATCGGATGCATGTTCGTGATAATGTGAAAATCGCAATGGTAAGTACGCCATCCTCCATGACCCATCCGCATGAAATCACTCACACACGCTCCACGCTGAAAATTACCTCAGCATCTCTCCTGGTACGCTCTTAGGATAATTTTTTTTTTTTTTGGGTCCGGTCGTGGGGCCTGAACTCTGGGCCTGGGCACTGTCCCTCAGCTCTTCAGCTCAAGGCTAGCGCTCTACCACTTGAGCCACA